CCCACCCACTGCTCACTCACCTGCCCGAGCAGCCAGGCCCACCAAGGTCAGGATGGCCCAGAAGCTGCCCCAGGACCCAGGCTTGGTGCAGCCCAGCCTCAGCATCTTTGTGCCCCTCCCCCGAGTCCACAGGAGGGACAGTGAAGCCCAGACCACTGCTCTTACATCCCTCCTCTTTATATAGGACCGAGTACAAGGGGATGGCACCCCCCTTCCTGGCCAGCCTCCCTCCCCCCACCCAGCCTCAGCCATGGATTGGTGGAAACTGGCCCCAGCTGTTGCCCAGGCAACCTCTTAAGCCAGAGAGTGGCAGCCCCAGGGGCTATTGTGCTGCTCTGGGCCTCTGAGCGGGACAGATCCGGCACCCTCCCCCCCATCTCCTACCACCCAGCAGAGCTAGTCCTTCCTCTCCTGGGAAGTTTTAGGCTCTCCAAAGGGCATGCAAGGGGCTCCAGGCACTGACAGCACTGGCCCAGAGGGTCCCCAGCCCCCTCCCCCAAGTTCCAGGCACAGCCACTGCCCTGGCACTGAGCATTTGGCAGCATCCTGGCTGCAGTACCCCGGTGAGCAGGCTGCAGAGAAGGGCCTGGGAGGGGAGGGGACAAGACAGCTCAGGCTTCCACCCTCCCCCTCTCCCTTCAGCTCTCCAGCGAGGAGGGCAAGGGTCTCAAGTAGGGGCCCATAGGTAACTGGGGTCATTTTCATGGTTTTTGTGGAAGAATGTTCCTGGCACACTCTAGGAAGGGTGATGGGCTGTGACTATCACCCTCCAGCCCTGCCAAAAAAAGATGAGCCCAGATGGCAGTGCTGGGTGTAAGGCAGATGCTCCATACCCCATGCACCACTGGACACGGGGACTGGGGATGCTGAGGTGCACACCCGTCTCCCTGTCACCCCTTCCTTTAATTCACTTCCCAAGTAGCTTCAGGTTTCAAGGTTCACCTTGTAAGACTTCTCTTACAAGCTTCTGTTCAACTTTCAACTATAATATTTCCCTTCCGAGAGTTCCAAGGAGACACCCAGCAGACCTGGCACCCCACCCTGACCATAGGGGAAACTGAGGCAGGGAGCTAGGACACCATCTCCCATGGGTTAGTGCAGAGGAGTGCTCTTGTAAAAATAAAGGAACAGAGAAAGGGAGGGGTCTGGAACCTGGGGAAGTGGGTGGGTAGGTAGATGGGTGGGGTTGAGACCTCACCTTTTTAGGGAGTTAATAGGGCTTGGCTCAGTCTTGATGAAGTGGGTGGGGGGTTCCCCAGAGATCCATCGCAGAGTTTCTTCCGAGGCCAGGCTCTGGAGGTAGGTCGGAGCCTGCCCTCCCTTGCTCTCTGGATCCCAGGGACCAGCTCGATGCATTGATTTCTGCCCCTGGCTGGCACAGAAAGCCCGACAGCTCCACCCCCTCTCTGGTGCCACGGAGCAGGAATTAGGCCTGGCACCTGCCTCATCCAGGCTGGCAAGAGATGGAGCTGCCCAGCGCAGTGGAAACCCCTTCCGGCTGCCCCGACCTTCACGCCTGGTTCCCCTTGTCCAGATCCACCATCCCTCGCCCACTGGCTGCCCGCCTGCCCTTCCCGTGGGCTGCACCCCCTCCCCAGCCCAGCCCAGCCCAGCAAGACAGAGCCTCAGTGTGATGGGTCGGGGCCTCTGAGGGCATTTGATTTCCATGCATAGTACTTTTCAATGGACATGGTATTGATTAGAAAAAGACGGTGATAGGAGAACCCACTACTCAGAAAACGGTATTTTGGCAAGCATGCTTCCTGACTCCGGCAGTCTTTCTAGAGGTATATTCTTTCTAGGAGTGTAGCCCACCTGCACCAGTATTTTCAAAGCATCCTGGATGGTTGTGGGGTACAGCCAGGTACATCTAGAGTTAGATGGATGGCATCTCAAATGTGCAAGGATTGGAGAGGCCCCAGGTTACCACGGAGACCGGGAGGGTCCCTTCTGATTCCCGTCCCTGGGAGGCCCCATCTCCTACTATTTCTACCTTCCGTTATCCCCAAAGCTCCTCCAATGATTTTGAGACTGGCTTTCTAGGAATAGGTGTTCTCTGTTCTTTTCTTAGTTTGAGGGTTGCTAGAGTGTGTGGTGTGCGCACGTGCGTGTGTGTGTGCGTGTGCGTGTGTGCACGCCTGTGTGTGCATGTGCGTGTGTGTGTGTGTGTGTTCGAACGTCTTGGAGCAGGGGGAGGAAGGAAGCCATTTGCCCTATACGGTTCTGGAGACAGAGAACTTGAAATGCTCTGCTTTATTTTGCCCTGAGGATCTGGAAGCTCCATGAATCCTCGAGTGCAGGCCTGCTGAGCTCATAGCCTAGAACAAGTGCCACAGAAGACGGTTCCGTCCTGCCCAGGTCAGAGTGTTTATAACCTATGTGACTTGGTTTCACGGCCGGGAACAGGCAGAGCCAGGACACAAATGCCACTTTTCTGCTCGACATCTCTTCCCACAACCCCAGGCTGTCCTTTCTGGGAAGCTTTGCAGGTTACCATAACGACCCTGAGGGGCAAGGACGCTCTGGGGCTGTTAAAGCAACGGAAGATTCTTGCAGGCTCCAGGCAGTGTGGAGCTTCTGACCTGCAGGGTGGGGGACCAGGTGCTGGGCTGCAGTCATACCCACCTGGGAGGGCGGCTCCAGACCTAGCCCCTCCCAGACCACAACCTCCCTAGCATCTGTGACATCTCCCTTCCTGGGCTAGGGTTTCCTTGGACACTGAGCTTAGGTCCCAGGCCCCATGGACTCAGCAAGGCCTACTAATAACATTCAAGAAGGACTCTTTCCCTGAAGTCGCTCACACACTATTAAAGCTTCCCCGGAACCCAGGCTGTCCCATTAAGGTGGCACGTTCATTTTCCTGCCTCAGCACCCCCCATCACGCTGTTCCCCCAACTGGAATGCCCTTCCCCATCTGAGTGCAGTGGCCTGAGCCTAGCTGCAAGGTTCTCTGAGCCTTGGTTTCCTCTTGTGTGAAGTGGAGATAACCAAAGTTAGCGTGTGGGGCTGCCATGAGGGTGACAAGTGTAGGGACAGAGTAGGTGCTCAGGAAATGTTGGCAGAGCGCTTCACACATGGCTGGCCTTTCAAACTGGACTGTAAGCAGCGCCTGCTCACCCAGAGCCTCATGGTGCGGAGAGGTGGTGGCCTGGGGAATCATCCATGCTTGCTGGGAATTTACTGCATTCTGGGGCTGGGGTCCTGGACACTCTCCCTGGGGGCCTGAGTGGGTAGTTTCTACTTTGGTCCCACTGTGCCAACCAGGGGACCCAGCCAAAGCCAGTGCATTCTCAGAGGCCTGCAGGGTCAGGATATGGCCACCAGGGGGAAGTAAGATTCCTGTGATTGCTGCAGGGGTGGCTATGGAGGTGTGTGTGTGTGGGGGGGGGGGGTTGCTCCAGCCCCAGATGTGGGACCCAACGTAGGGAACCTGGAAGCCAGGCAGCTATGTTGCCAGAGGGCTAGTGAGCGTGGGAAGCGATTTCAGATTGGGCCTCAGCTCTCCTCCAAGTCAGTCTAGGCACTGTGGGATGCCTACTGTGGGCTGCACTGGTCACTCTTCCCCGAGGTGCGGGGCTGGCCAGGCGCAGATTCCAGCCACTCCAGGGCACACACACCGGCTGGTGTTTGTTTGCCAGTGACTGATATTTCTTGAGAGATGGTCCATTTCACCAGGGCCAGGAAAACAACAGCTGCTCAGACTTCTGATGGTCACAGCTCCCACTGCACAGGGCTTCCAGACACCCTTCCAGGCCAGCAGGCCCTGGGTACCCCCTCCTGGTCCCACCACACGCAGCAGCTGCAGGACTGACCCCTTCAAGCCTGCCCCATGAGGTTTCCCTCCAGATCTGGGCCCTGCCCATGGCGACCTCGTCTCCCCCCACCCCCA